CGCCTCTCACCCGTTCTGCTTCCTCTTGCCAGGAGGGCTGGGCTCAAGAAATGCCCTGGGGACCCCTGGTCCCCGCCCAGTGGCAGGGGGCCCAAAGAGAGGAAGGCAGTTCCCCATGAGTTGCAGCAGAGGCCTTCTAAGTGGGGCTGCATTACGACCCTCGCTTCTCTTCCCAGGCAGTTTGGGAGGCGAGAGTTGGGGTGACGGGTAGGAAGCAGAGGCGCGCCTGCTCCGGCCCCTCTGGGAATCTTGCGCCGCCACAGGCCTTTTGCCCTGGGGGCTGGACCCTGCTGATCTGCTCAGGAGAGGAGTCCGTCCAGAGCATAAATAGGAGCTGATTCCTCCGCTGGTGGTCGTCCGCTGGCAGCCCTGGCAAAGGGGATCCCCGCTGGGAAGCCGCATCCCTGGCCAGGGCCCACGAGTGCTGGGGAAGCATGCGGGCACGCGGGCACTCCCTCCCCGTGCCTCGGCTGTCCTGAGACACGGCTCGCTCGGTGGATGGGCTGCTCTGCGTCCTCCAGCTTTCCTCAGAGGGGCAGAGCGTGAGCTGGTCCGAGTTGGGGAATCTTTGCACCACTGCGGTTCAGTTGTGCAGCCGTTCTGCCCGTTGGGGCTCAAGTCCCACTTGCTCCCTGCTAGCTTATGCCAAGTCAGCGTGCTCTCCTTGTCTGCGCAGCCTTCCCCCTCCCAAAAGGACAGACGGCGGACTCGCAATGATCACGGTCAAGTTTGGAATTTAAAAAGAAGGAGACAAAACCTACAGCTGCCTTTTAGAATTCTTTCTCCGTACACTGGCTAAAGCAATCACTGTAAACTCGGACATGTAATATTTCTGTGTGAATGTTGCCTGGTAGCGTGGGTCTGAGTTAGCACTGTGGGGGTGAGCCCCTCCCCCCTCCCCCCCCCCCCCCCCCCCCCTCCCCTCCCCTCCCTCCCGTTCCCGGAGCCCCCCGGGGAGAATGGCATCAACTGAAGCCTTAAGCAGTTGCTCCTCCAGCTCTCCTTAACAAGCATGGGTTAAACACTAAAGCTATCAGACAAGAAAACTTTGAAGTGATAATAAAAATGGCACATTGACCAATATTAAAGTGATGTCCTAGTTGGCTAGCGACTCTTAAGCAGTTTTCATAAATGGAGAAACTAGAAGTCTGTCCTTTGATTTAGGCATGTAGTTCTGGGCTGTCGGGACCCCGAGAAAGGCTTCCCGGCTTCGCTGCCCTTCCACGTCAGACCCCCCGCGCGCCCCCTTAGCACCACCGTTTCCCTCAAAGAGTGTTAGAGTCGTTTCTAGCGCTTTCACGCTATCTCCTTAGAGCGAAACTAAGCTATCTGAATTTTCTTGATGTGTCCGTCTGCGTTGCCTTAACAGGATGCCTGATCTAACACCAAATTATAGAGAGAAACAAGTCCTGATTTATTATTTCAGCCTTGTTTCTGTGTGCGAGCACGAGTGAATGTGTATGCCAGAGAGGCCCGTTGGCCTGCCCCTTTTCCTGGAAGAAACGCCCCCCCCCCCCCCCACCCCATGGCAGACCTTCCTGCAATACATTTCCCACACAACATGGAAAGGGGGCTGGGCTGTCTCGGACTTCTCTCCTCACGATACGATGGTCTGATACCTGGACGCATTCGCCCAATAAGCTGGCTGCCCTGGGTCACTGCTGGAAGGCCCAGACTAGACTGTTAGCCTGGCACTCAGGATGGCACCAGAGCCCTCTCTCCTCTGCTGTCACCCCTTGCCCCACCTTTTGGGGTGGATGGGGAGTGGTGATGTCCTGGGTCCCCCCACCCTTCCTTGGACAGGGAACAAAATGACAGGCCTTTGAAGTTAGGGATGGCAAGTGGTTTAGTAACCAAGACAAAATAGGCCTTGTACTGGTAAACCAGGGTCCCCTTTTCCCCCAGTTTGGGTCCTGGGTGGCGGCATCTCAGCTTTAGGGCACGCCTGGGTCCTAAGGTGCTGGACTTAGAAAATGGCTGCATCCTTAAAAGTCTGAAATTAAACTTCCTCTGTCCCTCCAGCTTCTATCTCCAGTTGCCACCTGGGACTTTCTCTGCCCCCCCCCTTGCCTTGGCCCGCTGAGGGTCATTCCTGGCTTGCCAGGGGACTGGAATCGGGTGGCAGAGCAGGGCTCCCCCCGCCCGTGGCCCCTCTATTCCGCCTCCCCTGCTGCTCCTGCACCAGGTGGCCAGGGCTGCACTGCCCCCCACCCCGGGAGGGCCCAAGTCAGACCTTTACCCAGCAGTCGCTTCAGGCAGCGCCTCTTTCTGCTCCCCCGGCAGCCGGGGGCCCGAAACTCCCAGGGGCCCAGCTTCTTCGCCCTTCCCTTTGCACTGACCCCAAACTCGGTGGCCGCTGGCAAGGAATGGAGAAGGGCGTCTTCGGTCGTGCTGGTTTCAGTACTCCCTGATCGATCGTCGTCATGCCCTTCCTATAAACTGCTGCTCGTGTGCGATGGGTATCCAGACTAGGAGTTTTGTTCTCTCACACTGTTTGTATTTTATTTTTTGTCTTCAGGAACAAAAAATAAAAAGCGAAGCCAAAAAGAACCTGTAAACCCACATTCGTACTTTGGCGCTTCCATCCCCCTGCACTGGCTCAGGGGGCACAGATGAGGAAGATTCGGCCCCAGAGCGACCGGGGGGGG